GTTGCTAGTACCGGTGGCACAAAGACATGATCCGCATTATCGGAAATTGCTGTGGTCGGAACACGCGGGCACTTTGCGATACTTGAAGCTTCCGATAGAGAAGTTGATGCTTCCGATGAAAGAATATCTCTATCCGGAGGAGGAGGACACATCGCTCATAGAAAACTATATCACGACATTAGTCCGCAGAATAGTCAAGCAAACATGGTGTCCTGTTCCTTATGCGATTGCGATACATCATTCGGCGATGTATCTGAAGCGTTCGAATAGGTTGGCGGTGCGAATGCGTGCACAAGTGGAGAAACTGTGGGACAAAGATATCGCGAATACATTGCTACACTACGTACCACCGCGATTAATGTAAAATGATGGGACTGATGCGACATGATTTTATGGTATATAAATATGGTATGTATGCTTAATTATGTCCAGGATTGAGAATCGTTATTTCTTACAAAAAGTAACGTGTTATTATTACTGTTATTTAGAAAGTAACGATTTATTTATTTTTTTGTTAAAATAAAATAATAAATTTTAAAATTACATTATTTCATAATCGATATTATAATAATCAATGTTAGAAACAAAACTTTTATATATATAGTTATGTATATAGTTATGTATACAGTATAAGTTCTTTTCTATTAAACTTATTTAGTAATTTTTTTAATTCTTGATAATATCGACATATTTTTAATCCATCATATTTAAAAATGAAATGTAATGATTTTAGACAAATTCTTCATAATAGAATCGCTTTCAGAGTGTTCGTCTATTCTTATTTTTGTTTGAATGTAATTAGTTGCAATTAAACATTTTTCATCTAAATTAAAATAAATGTAATGAAATATATATACTTAAATAAAAAATTTTAATATCCTTTTATTTCTTTTTATGAATTTTATATCTCATTACTATTCAATTCTCATATAATTAACAGATTGACAGTCAGATGTTGATTTAGCAGTAATACATCTACGCCAAATATATATGATTGTTACGAGATCAGAACAAAAAAAATCTTTAGATTTAATTATACACAATAATTGCACGTATTTAATTTTAGTAGATTAAAAATAGTTCTACATACTGTCTCTACTACTCAAGAATTTCTTTGAATATATCTGGAATAAATTGTTCAG